CTTCTACTTTGTAAAAACTTCTCATATGCTAACTTTTTCTCCCTTACTACTCTCTTTACATCATCATTCCACCAATCGCTCCTCTTCCCTCCTGCACCCACTTTCCTGTAACCACAAACTTCTGCTGAACACTCTAAAACTACATTTTTAAACCAAACCCCATACCTCTTCGACCCCATTGCCTATGCTCTATTAGCCCATCTATCCTCCAATAGCTGTTTATATCTTACCCTAACTGCCTCCTCTTTTAGTTTATAAACCTTCACCTCTCTCTTTCCCTGATGCTTCTATTCTCCTTGTATCCCATCTACCTTTTACTCTCAGTGTAGCTACAACTAGAAAGTGATCTGATATATCTGTGGCCCCTCTATAAACATGTACATCCTGAAGTCTACTCAACAGTCTTTTATCTACCAATACATAATCCAACAACTACTGTCATTTCCCCCTCCCATCATATCGTGTATACTTTTTTTATCCTCTTTTTCTTAAAATATGTTTTAACCTATAACTAAACCCCTTTCTATCAAAGTTCAATCAAAGGGCTCCCATTATCATTTCCCACCTGGCACCCCAAAACTTACCTACCACACCCTCCTAAAAGTTTCTCCTACTTTAGCATTCAAGTCCCCTACCACAATTACTCTCTCATTTGGGTTCAAAGGCTCCTATACATTCACTTAACATCTCCCAAAATCTCTCTCTCTCCTCTGCATTCCTCTCTTCCCAGGTGCATACACGCTTATTATGACCCACTTCTCGCATCCAACCTTTACTTTAATCCACATAATTCTTGAATTTACACATTTCATATTCCTTTTCTCCTTCCATAACTGATCATTTAACATTACTGCTACCCCTTCCTTTGCTCTAACTCTCTCAGATACTCCAGATTTAATCCCATTTATTTCCCCCCACTGAAACTCTCCTACCCCCTTCAGCTTTGTTTCGCTTAGGGCCAGGACATCCAACTTCTTTTCATTCATAACATCAGCAATCATCTGTTTCTTGTCATCCGCACTACATCCACGCACATTTAAGCAACCCAGTTTTATAAAGTTTTTCTTCTTCTCTTTTTTTTTGTGTACATAAAAGACATTAGCCATTGAAGATTGAAACTGTTCATTAGCTTCTTACTCGAGTTCTTTCACGGATAAATTGGCAAAATATTTTTAAAATTTAATTGACAAATTGGCACCTACACATGCCAGTAACAATCCTAACCTTCTGAGTATAGCAAGACCTGGACATGGACTGGGTCGCTGGGGCGTGACCTGGTCATGGACCGGGTCGCTGGGGCGTTGACAACCTGGTACACTCTTCAGGTATACTACTACAGATATATTCCAGATATACTCTTCTAGGTATACTCCAGGTATAACTAGTGTTGAAATTTTTTTGCCAGTCAGAAGAGGATTTCTCATGTTATTGGCATTCAACTCCAGGAATGATGTATATGACATTGAGCAGAGGACACCTGTAAGGAGTTGTATGACACCTGTCAGGAGTTGTATGACACCTGTCAGGAGTTGTATGACACCTGTCAGGTGTCATACAACTTCAAGGCGAAACTTTGGTTGTGATTTAAGAAGAATTTTTGGGGGAAGTGGAGGAATGGTAGTTAAGAATGGGATAAGATCCCATGGAGCGGAGAAGTGCCGCTGTTGCCTTACTTGACATAGATCATGTAGCTACTTCATGTGGAGGTCAGTTCTAGTTGTATGATACCTGCCAGTAGTTGTATGATACCTGCTAGTAGTTGTATACCTGCCAATAGATGTATGAAGCCTGCCAGTAGTTGTATGACACCTGCCAGTAGTTGTATGATACCTGCCAGTAGTTGTGTGATACCTGCCAGTAGTTGTATGATACCTGCCAGTAGTTGTATGATACCTGCTAGTAGATGTATGAAACCTGCCAATAGTTGTATGACACCTGCCCGTAGTTGTATGATACCTGCCAGTAGTTGTATGATACCTGCCAGTAGATGTATGAAACCTGCCAGTAGTTGTATGATACCTGCCAGTAGTTGTATATCTTACAGTAGTTGTATGACACCTTCCAGTAGTTGTATGACACCTTTCAGTAGTTGTATGAAACCTGCCAGTAGTTGTATGATACCTGCCAGTAGTTGTATAATACCTGCCAGTAGTTGTATGATACCTGCCAGTAGTTGTATGATAACTGCCAGTAGTTGTATGACACCTGCCAGTAGTTGTATGATACCTGCCAGTAGTTGTATGATACCTGCCAGTAGTTGTATGACACCTGCTAGTAGTTGTATACCTGCCAGTAGTTGTATGATACCTGCCAGTAGTTGTATGACACCTGCTAGTAGTTGTATGACACCTGCCAGTAGTTGTATATCTGCCAGTAGTTGTATGATACCTGCCAGTAGTTGTATGACACCTGCCAGTAGTTGTATGATACCTGCCAGTAGTTGTATGACACCTGCCAGTAGTTGTATGGCACCTTCCAGTAGTTGTATGATACCTGCCAGTAGTTGTATGATACCTGCCAGTAGTTGTATGATACCTGCCAGTAGTTGTATGATACCTGCCAGTAGTTGTATGATACCTGCCAGTAGTTGTATGACACCTTCCAGTAGTTGTATGACACCTGCCAGTAGTTGTATGACACCTGCCAGTAGTTGTATGACACCTGCCAGTAGTTGTATGACACCTGCCAGTAGTTGTATATCTGCCAGTAGTTGTATGATACCTGCCAGTAGTTGTATGACACCTGCCAGTAGTTGTATGATACCTGCCAGTAGTTGTATGACACCTGCCAGTAGTTGTATGGCACCTTCCAGTAGTTGTATGAAACCTGCCAGTAGTTGTATGATACCTGCCAGTAGTTGTATGATACCTGCCAGTAGTTGTATGATACCTGCCAGTAGTTGTATGATACCTGCCAGTAGTTGTATGATACCTTCCAGTAGTTGTATGATACCTGCCAGTAGTTGTATGATACCTGCCAGTAGTTGTATGATACCTGCCAGTAGTTGTATGACACCTTCCAGTAGTTGTATGACACCTGCCAGTAGTTGTATGACACCTGCCAGTAGTTGTATGACACCTGCCAGTAGTTGTATGACACCTGCCAGTAGTTGTATGACACCTGCCAGTAGTTGTATGATACCTGCCAGTAGTTGTATGACATCTGCCAGTAGTTGTATGATACCTTCCAGTAGTTGTATGATACCTGCCAGTAGTTGTATGACACCTGCCAGTAGTTGTATGATACCTGCCAGTAGTTGTATGACAACCTGCCATAGTTTTTATGACACCTGCCAGTAGTTGTATGACACCTGCCAGTAGTTGTATGACACCTGCCAGTAGTTGTATGACACCTGCCAGTAGTTGTATGACACCTGCCAGTAGTTGTATGACACCTGCCAGTAGTTGTATGACACCTGCCAGTAGTTGTATGACACCTGCCAGTAGTTGTATGACACCTTACCCAAGTTCACCATCATTATAAATCTGAAGCAGATCGGTTGAAGTTTTTACCTTCCTTGGAGGAAGGTATAAGCAATAAGGCAACAATTTAAAGGTGTCATTTCGGGGATACCTATGATGATGATAATAATAATAATAATAATAATAATAATAATAATAATAATAATAATAATAATAATAATAACATGCCAAGCCAATGAAGAATACAGCAAGTTTGATATCTGTCTACTTAGTTGGTGCACCAGTTATAAGTGTTTTGCTAGCCATACTCTTACCAACACCATTGTGAGTGATCAGAGATATCTCTTGTTCTTGTAAGCTAGTTTTAATGCTTCAGAAAAATCCCAGTGAACAATTTTAGTTTTTTTTCAAGGAGTGTGTTGTATTAGAACCCGCGTGGCCTTAAGGGTATATCTGTTCTACTGTTCCCCTGTGGCACATGCTATCACAGGGCACCCATCCTCATTGTGGCTCAGGTTTCTGACATGTTTTGGGGCACGCGGACACTGTTTCATCTCTCCTCTGTCATTTTACATTATTGCCATTCATTTCTTGCTCATTTTTCTATCCCCTTGGTAGTGGTGCTGTTATATCAACTTCACTGGGAAAGGAGTTGTATGCAGTATGACTTAAGGCTCATAAGAGCCTAAAGTTATGTTATTAAAAAAATCCTAGTGAACTGGCTATAATAGGTCTTAGTTGTAACTTCTTGAGTGCCATGATGAGACCTACCACGCAAAAACAACCTTTTATTGTCAATCCTTTGCTTGTGACTACTAGCTTTATTCGTTTTGTGTGAAGTGTTTAAACCCACGTGGACTACTTATTTACTGGAGTAATTTAGGTTCCGCACACTACTTGCAAGATAGACACGCTACCTCCTTGTTTACTATGTCCTCAGACAATTTGATCAATTCTGTAAAATGGAACACCAACATACAAACCATTCTTATTGTGTCACGTATCGCTTAATTAGTACTCTAGTACCCGGGGTTAAGAGAAGCAAACGTTGAAAACGTTTTCGTTTATCCTCAACCGCCATGTTGTCAGACTTATCGTATGTTATAATATATGTTTTATGTTTGTGTAACCTAATCTAACCTAACGCAGCCTAAGTGCCTACCCTAATCTAAAATAAAGAAAACGTGATTTGGACGGGGAAAAATAGAAGCGCTTTGCTCACGTCAGCTAATATTATTAGCTAGGAAAAAACTGAAGTTTTAAAATGATGCTGTTTTACCGTGTCACGGAGGTAGCATGCTCATTCCATGCCCAGTGAGAGACGACTTTATCCTTACAAGTTGATGAATGAGACACGTGCAACACATATCTTTATTGTCGTAACGTTTCGCCTGCGAAGCAAGCTTTATGTGAATACAAAAGAAGGTTGACGCACATGCGATCGGAACGTATCTGGAACCGGTAGTGCACAGGTATGTCAGGTAGATGAGGTGGGTGGGAGGTTTAAGGCTTGGAACTTCTATCCACGACTGAAAATGGAAACTTGCAGTGGGACTGATGATGGGGATTATATTCTAGGTGTCGCAGAGTATGATCGAACTAGACCGAGGCCAAGAGGACACCAAGACCACCTTCATCGTAAGTTATCACTCTTGAGAAAGTCCTCACACAAGTGCTTGCTGTTCAACTGTGTATACACGTCTTCTTTACCTGTATGTATACATGTGTTTAAACACCTGTATACATGTGTTGACCGGTACTGCTCTCCACACCCGCTTACTCGCTACTCTTGTTTTTTTTTTTCTCGTTTTATGTAACAAGTACTCGCGGCATGTACCAGCGGTGTGCGAGAGAGCGGCACATTGGTTAAGCATGCTAGATACCATTCGTGTTTTTCCTAGTTAGCTTTTAGCTCTTTATGTTATTAGATAAGTATGTTTCTTTTGCATTATTATTATTATTATTATTATTATTATTATTATTATTATTATTATTGCTGTTCTCCCTAGTGTTTGATGATTTATGCTTATGAAAATTTATTGTGTATATTGATATTAAAGTTTGTTATAATATTTCTGCCTTAATTTTTGCATGAATGAGTGAAGGTGTGAATGATGAGGTGAGTCCATCACTTAAATGGTGGCAGCGGTGGGATGTGGTAGGAAGGTCAGAGCAATGGTGGCAGCGGTGGGATGTGGTAGGAAGGTCAGAGCAATGGTGGCAGTGGTGGGATGTGGTAGGAAGGTCAGAGCAATGGTGGCAGCGGTGGGATGTGGTAGGAAGGTCAGAGCAATGGTGGCAGCGGTGGGATGTGGTAGGAGGGCCAGTACAGTGCTGAGAAGTTACATTGGCACTACCTCTCTACCTTGATACTGATATTGATATTGCTGATATGGGTCGGCTGCCATATACTGGCATCCATAACAATACCAACAATATTACATAATACTATAACAAACTGTGATACATGATAGCAGCTTAAGCTTTCTTCCCACTTGTTGCTCTTGTAGTTATTGCATAAGTTTTTTTCATTTCTCGTAAATTTAACTTTACCATGCATTTCCTGTAGACGCTTCTTTGATAGGTGTCTTTATGCCGAGCCTCACGGTAGATGTCATGCATATAATGTTAGTGATGCATATATTTATACACGGAGTGACGCTGGTGTTGGTATGGTTGTACTCGCTAGTTCCAGGAAGTAAGTTCATTCCACTTGCTGTCACTCTTTATGTCAATAATCGAATCTTAATCCTGCACAGATTACAGGTTTAGTGACAAATGGATTGAAATCTTAGGCTATTCTTAAGTGACGTGTGAGAGTACTATGAGAGAGAGAGAGCCAGGGACCAGACGTGTGAAGATACTGTAAGAGAGACCCAGGGACTAGACGTGTGAAGGTACTGTGAGAGAGAGCCAGGGACCAGACGTGTGAAGATACTGTGAGAGTGACCCAGGGACCAGACGTGTGAAGGTACTGTGAGAGAGACACAGAGACCAGACGTGTGAAGGTACTATGAGAGAGACCCAGGGACCAGACGTGTGAAGATACTGTGACAGAGACCCAGGGACCAGACGTGTGAAGATACTGTGAGAGAGAGCCAGGGACCAGACGTGTGAAGGTACTATGAGAGAGAGCCAGGGACCAGACGTGTAAAGATACTGTGAGAGAGACCCAGGGACCAGACGTGTGAAGATACTATGAGAGAGAGCCAGGGACCAGACGTGTGAAGGTACTATGAGAGAGAGCCAGGGACCAGACGTGTGAAGATACTATGAGAGAGAGCCAGGGACCAGACGTGGGAAGGTACTGTGAGAGAGCCAGGGACCAGACGTGTGAAGATACTATGAGAGAGAGCCAGGGACCAGACGTGTAAAGGTACTATGAGAGAGAGCCAGGGACCAGACGTGTGAAGATACTATGAGAGACCCAGGGACCAGACGTGTAAAGATACTATGAGAGAGCCAGGGACCAGACGTGTGAAGGTACTATGAGAGAGCGCCAGGGACCAGACGTGTGAAGATATTATGAGAGAGAGCCAGGGACCAGACGTGTGAAGATACTGTGAGAGAGAGCCAGGGACCAGACGTGTGAAGATACTATGAGAGAGACCCAGGGACCAGACGTGTGAAGGTACTATGAGAGAGACCCAGGGACCAGACGTGTGAAGATACTATGAGAGAGACCCAGGGACCAGACGTGGGAAGGTACTATGAGAGAGACCCAGGGACCAGACGTGTGAAGGTACTATGAGAGAGATCCAGGGACCAGACATGTGATGGTACTGTGAGAGTGAGCCAGGGACCAGACATGTGAGGGTACTGTGAGTGAGCCAGGGACCAGACATGTGAGGGTACTGTGAGAGTGAGCCAGGGACCAGACATGTGAGAGTACTGTGATAGCCAGGGACCAGACATGTGAGGGTACTGTGAGAGTGAGCCAGGGACCAGGCATGTGAGGGTACTGTGATAGTGAGCCAGGGACCAGACTGTGAGGTACTGTGAGAGTGAGCCAGGGACCAGACATGTGAGGGTACTGTGATAGTGAGCCAGGGACCAGACATGTGAGGGTACTGTGAGAGTGAGTCAGGGACCAGACATGTGAGGGTACTGTGAGAGTGAGCCAGGGACCAGACATGTGAGGGTACTGTGAGAGCGAGCCAGGGACCAGACATGTGAGGGTACTGTGAGAGAGACCCAGGGACCAGACATGTGAGGGTACTGTGAGAGTGAGCCAGGGACCAGACATGTGAGGGTACTGTGATAGTGAGCCAGGGACCAGACATGTGAGGGTACTGTGAGAGTGAGCCAGGGACCAGACATGTGAGGGTACTGTGAGAGTGATCCAGGGACCAGACATGTGAGGGTACTGTGATAATGAGCCAGGGACCAGACATGTAAGGGTATTGTGAGAGTGAGCCAGGGACCAGACATGTGAGGGTACTGTGATAGTGAGCCAGGGACCAGACATGTGAGGGTACTGTGAGAGTGAGCCAGGGACCAGACATGTGAGGGTACTGTGAGAGTGAGCCAGGGACCAGACATGTGAGGGTACTGTGAGAGTGAGCCAGGGACCAGACATGTGAGGGTACTGTGAGAGTGAGCCAGGGACCAGACATGTGAGGGTACTGTGAGAGTGAGCCAGGGACCAGACATGTGAGGGTACTGTGAAGTGACCAGGGACCAGACATGTGAGGGTACTGTGAGAGTGAGCCAGGGACCAGACATGTGAGGGTACTGTGAGAGTGAGCCAGGGACCAGACATGTGAGGGTACTGTGAGAGAGACCCAGGGACCAGACATGTGAGGGTACTGTGAGAGTGAGCCAGGGACCAGACATGAGAGGGTACTGTGAGAGAGTGCTAGGGACCAGACATGTGAGGGTACTGTGAGTGAGCCAGGGACCAGACATGTGAGGGTACTGTGAGAGAGACCCAGGGACCAAACATGTGAGGGTACTGTGAGAGTGAGCCAGGGACCAGACATGTGAGGGTACTATGAGAAAGAGCCAGGGACCAGACATGTGAGGGTACTGTGAGAGTGAGCCAGGGACAAGACATGTGAGGGTACTGTGAGAGTGAGCCAGGGACCAGACATGTGAGGGTACTGTGATAGTGAGCCAGGGACCAGGCATGTGAGGGTACTGTGAGAGTGAGCCAGGGACCAGACATGTGAGGGTACTGTGAGAGAGACCCAGGGACCAGACATGTGAAGGTACTGTGAGAGAGACCCAGGGACCAGACATGTGAGGGTACTGTGAAAGTGAGGCAGGGACCAGACATGTGAGGGTACTGTGAGAGTGAGCCAGGGACCAGACATGTGAGGGTACTGTGAGAGTGAGCCAGGGACCAGACATGAGAGGGTACTGTGAGAGAGACCCAGGGACCAGACATGTGAGGGTACTGTGAGAGAGTGCTAGGGACCAGACATGTGAGGGTACTGTGAGAGAGTGCTAGGGACCAGTGTCTGCTGTGGGGCTTTGCGATCAACCGTTCTCTTGTATCCTCACTTTTAGAGAACCAGTCTTCGCAGTTTCCTCTTGATATTAACAGGAGTCGTGACGTGTGATGTGGTGAGGGTGTGAGGTATGGGTGGTGTGAGGTATGGGTGGTGTGAGGTATGGGTAGTGTCAGGTATGGGTGGTGTCAGGTATGGTGGTGTCAGGTATGGGTGGTGTCAGGTATGGGTGGTGTCAGGTATGGGTGGTGTCAGGTATGGGTGGTGTCAGGTATGGGTGGTGTAAGGTATGGGTGGTGTCAGGTATGGGTGGTGTCAGGTATGGGTGGTGTCAGGTATGGGTGGTGTCAGGTATGGGTGGTGTGAGGCATGGGTGGTGTGAGCATGGGTGGTGTGAGGTATGGGTGGTGTCAGGTATGGGTGGTGTCAGGTATGGGTGGTGTCAGGTATGGGTGGTGTCAGGTAATGGGTGGTGTTATGTATGGGTGGTGTGAGGTATGGGTTGGTGTCAGGTATGGGTGGTGTCAGGTATGGGTGGTGTGAGGTATGGGTGGTGTGAGGTATGGGTGGTGTCAGGTATGGGTGGTGTGAGGTATGGGTGGTGTGAGGTATGGGTGGTGTCAGGTATGGGGTGGTGTCAGGTATGGGTGGTGTCAGGTATGGGTGGTGTCAGGTATGGGTGGTGTCAGGTATGGGTCGTGTCAGGTATGGGTGGTATCAGGTATGGGTGGTGTCAGGTATGGGTGGTGTCAGGTATGGGTGGTGTCGGGCATGGGTGGTGTCAGGCATGGGTGGTGTCAGGTATGAGTGGTGTCAGGTATGGGTGGTATCAGGTATGGGTTGGTGTCAGGTATGGGTGGTGTCAGGTATGGGTGGTGTCAGGTATGGGTGGTATCAGGTATGGGTGGTGTCAGGTATGGGTGGTATCAGGTATGGGTGGTGTCAGGTATGGGTGGTGTCAGGTATGGGTGGTGTCAGGTATGGGTGGTGTCAGGTATGGGTGGTGTCAGGTATGGGTGGTATCAGGTATGGGTGGTGTCAGGTATGGGTGGTGTCAGGTATGGGTGGTATCAGGTATGGGTGGTGTCAGGTATGGGTGGTGTCAGGTATGGGTGGTGTCAGGTATGGGTGGTGTCAGGTATGGGTGGTGTCAGGTATGGGTGGTGTCAGGTATGAAACTTGAGA